ACTTAAATGTAGCCTTGATGAGACTCATCAAGATTAATTTGTGTGTTCTTGTGATCTAACAAAAGATATACTTGCCACAAAGTCAGTGCAACAGAAGTTCATCAGATTAATCCTTAGGGCGGCTGAATTATGAGAAGCTATTGGAGAATCTGAATCTGTATGTTCCAGAGTTTCAAAGGATAAAAGGTGATCTCATTGAAATTTACAAAATTCTTACAGGGTGGTGGCTCTAGAACCAAGAAAGATAATCTCAAGATAACAGCAGGACTTTCAGGACTGAGGTGAGGAGAAATTTCTTCACTAAGAGAGTGGTGAATCTTTGAAATCCTGTACCATAGATGGCTGTGGAAGCTCAATCATTGAGCAAGTTCAGGACAGAGATCTAACATGATTTGATTTACAATTGTCACATGTACTGAAATAGTGAAAAGTATTGTTTTGTGTGCTATTCAGGCAGATGATACCATACATGAGTACATCAGGGTAATAGAACAGAATGGAGAATATAGTGTTACAGTGAGAGAGAAGGTGGAGAGAGAGATCAACTTTAGTATTTGACAGGTCTGTTCAAAAGTCTGATAACAGCAAGGAAGAAGCAGTTCTTGAATATGTTGGCACATTTTTTCAAACTTTTATATCTTCTGCTTGATGGAAGAGGGTGGACAAGAGTATAATTGGGATGGGAAGGGTCTTTGAATATAGGCAGCAGAAAATATGGATGGAAAGCTGGTTTGTGTGATGGACTGGGCTGTGTTCACAACACCGTGTAATTTCTTCCAGTCTTGGGCAGAGCAGTTGTCACACCAAGGTGTGACGCATCTGGATAGAACTAATGACATTTTGGAGATAATGCATGAAAGTGGCAATGAGGAGATGATCAATCATGATCTGGAATGACAGCGCAGGCTCCAAGAGGTTAATGGCTTCCTTCTGTTCTTATGCTCCTACACTTACAGACAAAAGGAAAAGGTGACAGTGAAACAAATAGAATAAAGGTTTTAAAAAGAGAGATAAGGAGCCCTGAAAGAATTACACTTTTGCCACTGTGCATCAGACTGTTACTGTTGCAATGCAAGTAGTTCTCTCTCTGTAAATCCGTAAAAGTAAGGAAGATGCATGCTACAGAATAGATTGTGCCAAGAACCTGAACATGGAATCTTTAAATATGAGGGAACTGTTGAACAGCAGCCACCAACAGTTCCAGTCTCCAGCTCCTACTGCCTGCCATATCCATATTGCAAGGAGCTGGAGGTTGATAATCACCCTGTTTGGCACATTGTGAATGCACCTTTCATGGCCATCAAATCCCAGAGTGTGATTCTTGCTCAGAGGCAGCCAAGTGCCACTACATCACAAGACACTCCCCACCACTCCCTCCCCCCTGCCCCCAATTAGGCCAATATCCCACAGACTAACTTCATAACATTTCCACTCACTCTCCATGACTTCCACGTCAACTCAGTATCAGCTTATGGTCTATCTTTCAATACCAGTTGACTGCCCTCTGCAGAAAAATACCAGCCCTGCTCTAGCTGTCAATGACTGAGTATCATAGAACTTCTTAATTAAGTATTTGATCATCTCAATTTGTACATATTGCTGTGACAAGAGAATGGCATCCATCACTTACTTACACTCGTATTTAAAGCTCCATTGTTCAATTTAGAAAGTAACTTTAGTTAACACTGCTTGTTCATTACACCTTAAGTATACAAACATCATGGAAGAAGAAAACACATCAGCCTATGCAATACAGGAAGTTCATCAAATTATAACAAAACAGACACGTAAGATCCAACAGACATCAAAGCAACAGACCATAGCCACAGAAGAAGGGAAATAAACAGTAAAACTTGGAAATGATAGACTTGGTCTGACTTAGTCTTGTTACAACTGAAAGTGGAATTCCATTCAGGGCAGCACCATCCTTAACATTTGTTTTCTTGACATATTCTCCATACTTAAATTATCTAAATTTGACTGTAAATTATAGCAAAGAGCTTGACCCATGTCATTCTATATTGCACATAATTAACCAAGTCTACGGTATACCATGAAAGCATTATTTAAAAAGTAAAATAAGCTAAAAAAAACTTTCTAATAAAATGCAGGTCTCCAGGTCCAATAATGAAATGGGCTGCTTTCAGCACAGCCAATTCATGTTCAACCACTTTTAGGCCCAATTATCACAGATTTAGCTTCTATTTCTTCCTACTGTCTTAGAATCTACTAGCAAATTATCTCTTGCTATCAACAATCGAGTTGCATATGCTTTTTTCTCTCTCACTCTGGGTTTCATCTCCATCTATCTGCTCACTTCTTCCCCTCCCCAATCCCCTGTTCCAGTATAAAGTGGGACCTTTTCCTAGCTACTTCTAGTTCTAAAGAACGGTCACTGGACTCAAAATGTTAATGCCGTTTTCTCTCCACAGATGCTGCCAGACCTGCTGAGTTTCTCCAGCAATTCCTGTTTTTGTGTGTTTTAAATCTCCAGCATCCGCAATTCTTTGTTTTATGTTATGAACTTATTGTTTGCTTGATTCTACATCATCCAAGCATTGTTGAGAACATTCAATCTTTATTCCTTCAATGATATCACATTCAGTCTTAAGTTGTCCTTTATAGATTTTGCTTTCTGGGGACCATTTGAAAGACAAAACTGTAACCTTGGTACATCCAGAAACGAAAACAGATTTTGCATGATACGCTGTAGACCAGCAAATGGAAATCTTTATTGTGTTGAAAAAGGTTCTACATGTAATGATTAAATACAAATCTTCTGAAAGCAGTGAAAATGATCATTGGTTCTGATAATAATTGTCTAAGGATTGCAGGGAAGTGTTAGTTTAAGACAGTGTTTTCGTGACAGTGTTGTTGTGACAATCATTTAGTTAGCCTAGTATTATTATCTTCACTGTTCAGATGAAGAGAATGTAGAAATTATAATTTAAATGTTTCTCAGAAAGAAAATTCTAAATAAATTGCATTTTATTAGAAAGGTTTTTAGTTTTTTTTACTTTTTAAATAAAAGTTAAGAAGTTCTATGCTACTCAATAATTGACAGCTGGAGTGGATTATGGTCAAGGGTTGATGTTCTGAAATTTTTAAACTCAATGTTGATCCCTGAAGGCTGTAAAGTACCTAAGCAAGAAGATGAGGTAATGTTCCTCCAGCTTGCTTTGAGTTTCGCTGGAGCACTGCAGCAGACTTGAGACAAACATATCATCATGGGAAACAGCTGTGTGTTGAAATGGCAGGAAACTGGAAGTTTGGAGTCCTTTTTGCAGACATAGGTGTTCTGCAAAGCAGTCAATCAGTCTGCATTTCATCTCCCCAACGTAAAGGAGACTGCACTGTGAGCAGCAATTACAGATAGCAGCAAATTAACTGCACTACGCCTGAAAGGTGTGTCTGGGGCCCAAACGGGCAGGTATTACACCTTTGGAGATTGCATGGGAAGTGGCTGAGAGGGTGTGGGGAAGCATTGGGAGCAGAGGAGGAGTAGATCATGGTACTCTGAAGGGAACGGTCCCTGAGGAAAGTTGAAAAGGGAGGAGAGGAGAATGTGTGTCTGGTGGTAGCATCCCACAGGAGATGGTGGAAATGGCAGCTTGTGATCCTTTGAAGAAGCCAATGGGATGGGAATTGAGGACAGGAGGGGCCCTATTGTTGTTGTGGGTGTGAAAGGAAGGGACAAGAGCAGAAGAGGGGAAATGGGATGGACATAGCTGAGGGCCCTATCAACCATGGTAGGAGGGAATCTTCAGATGGGCCAGAAATGCCTGAGGCCCATCTGTAAAAGGTGGCTCATCAGAACAGATGCCACAGAGATGGAAAAACTGGGAGGATGGAATAGAATCCTTACAGGAAGCAGGGTGAACATGCAGCTGTGCCAGTAAAACTGGAAGAGAAAAAATTGAGACAACATCAATTGATTCATTTTATGAATTCACACTCCTGGATGGAAAATCATGTGAAATACACCAACGAATTTCCTTTATGCTCTCCTAGGAGTGCAAATTCATAAAATTGCTCACTAGAAACAGGCTAATACCCGTTGTGTAATAGTTACACGGAATGAACGAAAGATTTCTATGTATTCCAATTCCTTTGAAAATTAGTTGGATAAATATGACCCAATGGCAGGCATGCATCAATAGTTTCCTTATATCTAGTATTATCAGAAACATGAATGTGCTATCTGGACAATGTACCCAAAACTGTATGTTCGAATGATATCCAAGAGTTTGAGTTCCGAATGACAGGGCAACTGGAATCATCCAGAACAAAGAGGTTCTACTCAGTCCCTGGCGTCCGTGACGGCTTTTTGAACCAATTAGTCCCACAGCTCTCCTCTATCCCCAGAGATCTGAAATGTTACCGTTTCAAACAATCCCCTAATGAAAATGACAACAGAACTTGTTGCCACCAACTATTCAGACATTGCATTCCAGATCATAACAATACGTTTTGTAAAAATATTTTGCTTGATCTCTCTTCTATTTCTGTTCTCAGTTTCTTTAAATTTGCGTCCCGATTGCTGACTCCACTCCACTAGAAACTGTTCCTCCTTATTTATTCTATCTGTTTTCTTTCTTGCACGCCCAGCTCTTAAATCATCCTAAAAAAAACTTTTCTACTCTAAGAAGAACAGCCTAAGTTTTCGGTACCTCCAAATAAATGAAGTCCCTCGTCTCTGGAACATTCTAGTAAATCTCTTTGGCATTTTATCCCAAAGGATTGACATCCATCTGATATGCACAGAATTGAACCCGAGATCTATCAAATGATTAAATTGTTTTTCCAAACGTTATTAGGAGAGAGAGAGAAAAACAACTTGTGGTGAAACTTCGTCAAAGGGGACAATTTCTCAAAGCGAGATGTTGGGTGCCCGGCCCCTTGCCACCAGTGACAAACCCAAAAAGAAAAAAAAATCAGACAACATGATTTGGTAGTTCGGTCATATTTTTTTTAAAAATTGAAGCAGGTTCTCGACAAACCTTAATCTCTTTTCTATTCTCTCCCGGTGACAGGGGTTGAGAGACTCTGCTCCTAAGGGATACGACTCCGGCATTGGCCGCACGGATGCTCCTTCGGTGTCCCCGGCTCTCCTCCATTCCCCGCACTTGCATTGAAGCTCTCACTGACTGTCTGAAGGCAGCGGGAGGCAGCCTGAGGCCATGTTGCCCTGTCCACTGGTTGCTCACACTCGCTGTAACTTTGTGGACAGTCGGCGACGGGTAATCTCCCTGGCACTAAGTTGAATTCGGTTCTTTGTTTGAGCTCGGGTTTTGCCTCCTCTTGAACAGTGTTGGAAGAAGTTCTTGGTCCCCCCACCTCGTGCTGTTCCACTTTACTGCATCTCAGAAAACCTGGCCAGACAACAGGATTAGTATCCAGGCAACGGCCGCGCTGCAGGGGGTTCCCGGCCGGGGGAAAGCGACAAAATTGACACACAACATTCATCGCCACAGCGCACTTAACTTTATATCCCAATAAAACAGGTGGACTCTCTAATGTCCCTGTGTTAGTTGCACTGCTGGCAGTAGGAGATTTCTCCTTTACCCGCTCCCCATCCTTTCTCTACCAATTAGAAGGCTGTTTTTTGCATGTGGGTGTTAAAGTGGCAACTAAAAAGGCAACTATTGTGGATCTCCTTATCCCACCCCTACCCCCGCCGACCCGACTCAAGAAAACTTAACCACGCTGGTTTAGAGAAACAGCGTTCGAAACGTAAACGTACTTAACGCTTGAGAAGGACCAATGGATGGTTTCAGTCCAGCAGAATTGTTGTGAGCAAAGCATTGTTGAAGGGACTAGTAAGTGTTGGACTTACTGTACTCACTACATGCATTACTTTGGTGCCACAACATATGCCATTTCTGCTCTGGTGACACCTCAATGTCATGAATCTCATATCTACTGGGTTGTCAGGACCAACTCTACTACTACCTAAACAGTTAGTGGTTTCATTGCTACCAGCTTCAATTTCTCACATCCTATCCTGTTTTGTGGTTACCAATAGAAAGTTAATTCAGTACTCAAGGGCCACAATCATCTGCTACATTGTTTCAATTGTGTTGCCATCTCTGAGTTCCTCGGGAGGGGTGACCATTGACCATCCTGGGGGGACCATTGGTCAGAAACTCAACTGGACTTGACATGTAAATGCAATGGTTGCAAGAACAGGTCACAGACGAGGAATACTGTAGCAAGTAACTCACCTCCTGACTCACCAAAGCCCATCCACCATCTACAAATAACAGAAGAAAAACAAAAGGTAATCTAAGTTGGGGAGTAGAGGGAAGGCCCAAGTTTTTTAAAAACTCTATTTCCATAATCCTCTCCTTAGAAATACTTCAAATTCACACCATTATTTTTAGAGACTACTTATCCCAAAAACCAATGAGCCCATCTTCACAAATATTTTTGGGAAATATTGTTGCAAGATGTGCAGGAAAACCTGTAGAGATTATATAAATGAGTTCCTTATATGAAGAATAGAAAATCCTAACATTTCCCAGATGATCTTGGATCACAATCTAGATACAGCAAAGAATTTAATAATCCCAAGAATGTTGATAGTGGGTCTGGCGTGTGCAGTCAGCAGCTTGCAACCCAGTCAGACCACATGTGGAAGCCCCTGCACTGATCTACTGCAATGTAATGTTTATCAGTAATCTGTTTATCTGACTGTAATGTTTATCCTTTTAACTAAGTCTTATTTCTAACCTATACTATGAATCACTGTAAGACAATGCGACTTTTTTCTTCTCATTCCTCGTTTTGTGTCTAAAATTTGTACCTAAAATGGCACCATGAACAGACAACATTATAAACTTTTCACTGTACTCCTGTACATCTGTACTTGAGTACATGTGACAAAAAGACCCAATTCTAATTCTAATTCAGTGATTGTAACATCATTGAATGTCAAGGGGCAGTGGTTAGCTTGTCTCTTATTGGAGATGGTCATTGCCTGGATTTGTGTGGCGTGAATGCTACTTGCCACTTGTCAGCCCAAGACTGGCTATTGTACCAATCTTGTTGCATCTGAACATGAACTACTTCAGTATCTGAGGAGTCACGAATGGTGCTGAATATTGTGCAATCATTGGTGAACATCCCCACTTCTAAACTTATGATGGAGGAAAGGTTATTATTAAAGTAGCTGAAGATGGTTGGACCTAGGACACTACCCAGAGGAACTCCTGCAGAGATGTCCTGGAGCTGACCACCAACAACCATAACCACCTTCCCATGTGCCAGTATGACTCCACCAGCAGAGATTTTGCCCCCAATCCCTATTGATTCCAGTTTTGCTAAGGCTCCTTGTGCCACACTTGGTCAAATGCAGCCTTGATGTCAAGGGCTATCACTCTCCCCTCACCTCTGGAATTCAGCTCTCTTGTCCTTGTTTGAACCAAGGCTGTAAAGAGCTCAGGAGCTGAGCAGCTCTGGTGGAACCCAAACTGGGCATCACTGAACAGACTATTCCTGTGCAGATGCTGCTTGATAGTCCTGTTGATGCACCTTCCATCACTTTACTGACAATTGAGGGTAGACTGATAGGGTGATAAGTGGCCAGTCTTCAGAAATGGAGAGGGGCAAGGGAGCTGGGAAATAAATAGACAGAGGAGGGCTGGGGCTGGGGAAGGTAGGTTCGATGGTGATAGGCGAATGTAGGTAGGGAGTGGCAGGGATTGGTCAGTGGGATTTGTGGGGTGGATAGGTGGGAAGAAGATGGAAAGGTTGTGTCAGGTTAAGAAGTTGGGAATGAGAGGGAGTGTTGGACATTGAAAGTTGGACATGTCACCCAGGGAGTGGGAGGGGGAGTTAAAATGGTTGGCAACCAGAAGGCATTGTTGTTTGTTGCATACAGAGCGCAGGTGCTCTATGAAACAGTCTCCGAGTCTAAGCTTGGTCTCACCGATGTAGAGGAGGCCACATCGGAAGCAATGAATACAGTAGACAAAGTTCACAGATGTACAGGTGAACCCCTGTCTGATATGAAAGGTTTGCTTTGGGCCTTGAATGGAGGTGAGGGAAAAGGTGTTGAGGCAGGTGTAACACTTCCTGCAGTTGCAGGGAAAGGCGCCGTCTGTGGTGGGGTTAGTGGGGTGTGTGGAGCAGACAAGGGATTCGCGGAGTGAGAGGTCCCTACCAAAGACTGATAGGAGTGGGGAGGGAAATATCTCTTTGTTCAATTTTCGTGACTCCCTCATCTGCTCCACACTTCCCACTAACCCCACCACATCCAGCATCTTTCCCTGCAACCGCAGGAAGTGCTACACTTGCCCCTACACCTCCCCCCACTCACCTCCCCTCAAGGCCCAAAGCAAACCTTTCATATCAGACAGGGGTTCGCCTGTACATTCGCCAACTTGGTCTACTGTATTCCATTGATCCTGGTACGGCCTCCTCTACATCAGTGAGACCAAGCAAAGAATCGGAGACCGTTTCATATAGCATCTGCGTTCTGTATACAACAGTCGAGAAGACCTTCCAGCCACCAACCATATTAACTCCCCTTCCCACCCCCTGGGTGACATATCCATCCTGGGCCCCCTCCAGTGCCACATTGACACCACACGCAAACTGGAGGAGCTGCACTTCATATTCTGCCTCTGGAGCCTACAGCCCGCTGGTCTAAACATGGAATTCACCAGTTTTAAAATCTCCCCACATCCGGCCTCATCACATGTTCAACACTCCCAATCATCCGTGCCTCCTTAACCTGACTATCTTCTCTCCCACCTATCAGCCCCAACCATCCCACTGACCAATCCCCACCTCTCCCCACCTGCATTCACCTATCACCATCCCACCTACCTTTCCCAGCCCCACTCCTCCTCTTCCTATTTATTTCCCAGCTCCCCTCTCCCTCCCCATTTCTGAAGGAGGGTCCTAACCCAAAATGTCAACTTTCCTGCTCCTCTAATGCTGTCTGGCCTGCTGTGTTCCTTCAGCTCCACACTGTGTTGTCACTGATTCCAGCATCTGCAGTTCTTGCTATCTCTGATAAATGGCCAGGTTGGATTTGTTACAGACCAGACCAAACCCCTTCAAAATATATTCAGAAGATAGCCTAGACCCTAACTTTTTAATTATTTTAAAAGTAAGTGTAAGTCATTGCATCCCAGATGCAATTCAATTGGTCAAACTAATCAACTTTAAGCAAAAACACTTTATTTTTACACTATAGTTAAAATACAGACAAAATAAAAATTTTTAAAAAAGGCTAAACTGTAACTCTATTGACATGCTAAACAAAATAACATGTATTGTCTACTACTAATTAATTGTTCCAAAATAGTAACATCCCATAAACACATAGTTGGCAAAGGCAAATTCAGTAAAATAGATTGTCTCAAATGCAATTCTAGCAGCAGGAAGAGAAACCCAGCTTTTTCCTGTAACAGAGAGAGTAGTAAGAGCTTCCACATCCAGCTTCAAGACCCCAGCAACTGTGAAAACTAAAACTAAAAGTCCTGGTTCTGTTGGAGCTTGATCCCATCCATTCAGGCTGTTTCTATTGTTCCAATTTTTAGAAAAAAGTACAAGGCCTCACAAGCTGTAAACATTACTGGCTTTGAGCAGACTGCTCCTCATCTCTGTCTCAACCTTTCTTCACAAGAAAAGGACAAAATACACCTCATAAAGACATAGTACTGTGATTGATGTGTCCTGCTTTTTGTGTACAAGATATACCTGGACACTTTCCACATTATTGGGTAGATGCCAGTGTTGTAACTAGTGGAACAGCTTGGATAGGGGAGCAGCAAATTCTGGAGCATAAGTCTTCAGTACTATTTCCAGAACGTTGTCAGGGCCAAGAGCCTTTGCAGAAACCGGTGCCTACAACCATTTCTTGATATCATGTAGAGTGAATTGAATTGGCTAAAGACTGGCATCTGTGATGCAAGGGACCATTGGAGGAAATGGATCATCTACTTGGCACTTCTGGCTGAAGATTGCTGAGAATATTTCAGCTTCATCTTTTGCCTGTTATTTTGGGCTCTTCCATCATTGAGGATGTGGATATTTGTGGAGCCTCCTCCCCCAGTGAGTTGTTTAATTGTCCACCGCCATTCACAACTGGATGTGGCAGGACTGCAGAGCCTAGACCTGATTTTTGGTTGTGGGATGGCTTTGCTCTGTCTATCATTTGCTCCTTGTGTTGTATGGCATACAAGTAGTTCTGCTTGGTAGCTTCACCAGGTCGATACCTCATCTTTAGATATGCCTGGTACTGCTCCTGGCATCCCCTCCTGCACTCTGCACTCTCTGTTGAACCAAGGTCGATCCCCTGGCTTGATGGTAATGGTTGAGTGAGGGATATGACTGGCCATGAGGTTATAGATTGTGCTGGAGTACAGTTCTGCTGCTGTTGATGGCCAACACTGCTTCATGGATGCCTAGTCTGAATTTGCTATGTATGTCCAAAGTCTGTCCCATTTAGCACGGTGATAGTGCCACACACCATGGAGGGTATTCTCAATGTGAAGTCAGGACTTTGTCTCCACAAGGACTATGCGGTGGTCATTCTTATCCATACTGTCATGGACCGATGCATGTGCAGCTGGCAGATTGGGGAGGATGCGGTCAAGTACGTTTTTCCCTCTTGTTGGTTCCCTCACCACTTGCCACACACCTCATCTAGTAGCTATGTCCTTTAGGACATGACCAGCTTGATCAGTAGTTGCTGCTGTCAAGCCACTGTTGATGGTGGGCATTGAAATCCCTATGCAGAGTACATTTTGCACCTTTGCCACTGTTAGTGTTGTTCAACATGGAGGAATACTGATTCATCAGCTGAGGGAGGATGATATGTGGTCATCACCAGCACATTTCCTTGCCCATGTTTAACCTGAAGCCATGGGACTTCATGGCGTCTGAAGTCAATGTTGAGCACTCCCAGGGCATATTACGGTATAATAGTCCAAAGGGTTGAGTTAGCTGGAACAATGTAAGCAGAAGAATTTATCTTGAAGGAATCTAAAATCATTAACCTCTACAACCGCTATCACCAATTTAGATTTACATAGTGAAGGACAGGTGATGGGTCTAGAGTGGTTTAGTGAGGAAGTACAATTCAAGCTTGAAAATCATATGCAATTTGAAGACAATGCACATGATACAGATAATGTTTCTTTAGCAAGTTGCCAAAACTAAATGATTGTCATAGAGTCATACAGCATGGAAACAGACCCTTCGGTCCAACCAATCCATGTTGAAAATAATCCCAAATTAAACAAGACCCACCTGCCTGTTCCTAGCCCATATCCCTCCAAACCTATCCCATTCATGTACTTATCCAAATGTCTCTTAAACATTGTAACTGTACCTGCATCCACCACTTCCTCAGGAAGTTCATTCCACACACGAATCACCTTTCTTGTAAAAATTTTTGCCCCTCATGTCTTTTTTTAAATTTTCTCCCCTCACTTTAAAACTGTGTCCCATAGACTTGAAATCCTCCAACCTAGGTGCAGGAGCAAAACCCCTGTCTGGGGCCAAAGACTCAGGAGGCAGGCAGGATTCAGGCATGAGACAGTCTCTATTCTTATTTGAGCAATAACCAGTTAATGCAGGGAGAGGGCCAAAGACATCCCCACATCTGGCCTTAACATGAGAACCTAGTCATTCTCTTAATTTTTGGCTCAGATCAGAAGAGAGATCAATGACACAGTTTGGTTTTTACAGTGAATTACAATATTTTTATACATTTTGTGTTACAATAATCACATACAACATAGTCACTGTGCCCTTCCCCTTATTCTATACATCCAATCCTGTGAAACACCTAATGAATGATGGACACTCCTGTGGATAGCCCTAGGTTCCCATGGTCTCATGATGTTTAAAGACATTGTAATCTCCAGGTCTTGGGATCTTTCTATTCATCTTATAAATTCACATTCCAAAGTTACTGGCTGTACTCCTTCGAACACTTCCTAGACTTGCTTATCTCTAAGGACTGCTTGAATTCTGTTGCCCATTGTATTCCTCGCTATCTCTATCAAATTCTGTTACTCCTCATATTTTCCCACTACTAACTGCTGTAAGATTCGTAATATTAATTTATATTATAAAGTTAGTTATATGTAAGGTTTTATAATTACATCTACTGTTAGCACTCTTTAGCTAATAGGTTGCAAGCAATTTGTTTCTTACAGGATGTGCTTACCTGAAGAATCTTTAAGTAGAACTGATTTCTAAATATCATGAATAATTTTAAGAAAGAATCTAATTACTGCAAAATAACTTCAGCTGCTGTTTCCACAGCTGTGTAATGAGTTAGGCTGACTGCCTTATATACTGAGATTTATTGTCCTTATTCTGACTAATTCTTTTCACCTAATGGGACAACATCCTTTCATTAATGAGGCTGGAATCAATCACTTGTCGTAGTTTAATAAACTTGTTTAACCCTACAGATTTTTACAAGCCACAGTCTCACGAGTTCATCTGTGTTTGTTACAAATTTTCAAACTGCCTGCCCTTGAACATCCTCTTATCGAACTGTCTCTGATTGCTGTCTGTGCGAGGAGCACAGCCCTCACCTTTCGCCTTGAAATAACCCCTTCTCGAAGACACTATTGTTTCACTTAAATGCTGGAACAGGCATTTAATTCTGTTTTAATCACTTGTCTGCTATTTTATGTCTAAATGCTGGAGCAGGCTTTTTAATTCTGTTTATTCCCTTGTCGGCCATTTTGTGTCTTTCAAATATAGGCAGCTCCAATGCTAGGGAAAAGACAACTACCATTAACTCTATTTATAACCCTGGTTATTTTATAAACTTCAATCAGGTCACCTCTCAACCTCCTACGCTCCAGTGGAAAAAGTCCCAGCCTATCCAGCCTTTTTTATAGCTGAAACCTTCCATACCCAGCAACATGCTGGTAAATCTCTTCTGAACCCACTGCAGCTTGATAATATCCTTCCTATAACTGGACAACCAGAACTGGACACAGTATTCCTGAAAATGTCCTGTACAACCTCAGCATGACTTTCCAACTCCCATACTCAAAGGACTGAGCAATGAAGGCAAGCATGCCAAACACCTTTTTAAGCACTCTGTTGATATGTAATGCAAATTTCAAAGAATCATGTGTTTGAACCCCTTAGTTCCTCTGTTCTACAGAAATAACCAAGGCCCTATCATTAATCATATAAGCCCTATTCATGTTTGCTGCACCAAAATGCAATACCTCACATTTATCCAGATTCAACTCCATCTGCCATTTCTCAGCCTATTGAACCATTTGATCAAGGTGCCTTTGTAATCTTAGAAAACCTTCTTCACTGTCCACTATACCATAAACTTACTAACCATGCCTTCTGTATTCTCATCCACATCATTTATATAAATGACAAATAAAAGAGGACCCAGAACCAATCCCTGTGGAACACTGCTGGTGACAGGCCTCCAGTCCAAAGAGCAACCCTCCATCACCACTCTCTGTCTCCTGCCATTATGCATCCAATTGGCAAGTGCACCCTGAAACCCATGTGACCTAATTTTACTAATTGGTCTACTATGTGGAGCCTTGTCAAAGGTTTTACTAAAGTCCAAGTAAACAATGTCTACTACTCTGCCCTCATCAATCTTTTTGGTAACTTCCTGAAAAAACTCAATCAAGTTTGTGATCCTTGCACAAAACCATGCTGACTATACCATGTTTTAGAGAACCTGAATCCCAAGAAAATCAAACATTGGCAACTGCCTAGTCATCAATATCAGCTATACTGATCTTAGCACATTGAATTCAATCTTACAACAAAGTGTTGCTGTTGAGACAGAGGTAGCAGGGACTGCAGATGCTAGAGCCAGAGATAACATAGTGTGGATCTGGAGGAACACAGCAGACCAGGCAACATCAGAGGAGCGGGAAAGTTGATGTTTCGGGTCAGGACTCTTCTTCAGAACTCTTCAGATTTGCAGATGCTGGTTGTCAGGACATTGTCATTGGATCCAAACTGTTGCAGCAGATTCTGTTCATGGATTGTAAGTAACCATCACTATAACAGAAAGGTTAGAACTCGCAAGATTTTGCATAAAGCTCAGTTGAACTGGAGATGGCATGCTTACATTGATACTCTATCAGAAAATCAGCAAGACCTGACTTCCAAACTAGCAGTTGAACTTCAGTTTGCCTTCCCCAATGATGACTCTGATGATACTGTCAACTATAAGAGCTTCCACATTCATTGGTTACTACAATAATAATAATAGCAAAAACAGTATGACTTGAAAGTTCTTGAGAAATTATGTCAACAGAATAGAAAAATTGCTGCAATTTATTAGAGCAAACAGGGTAACTCTTGATCCATGCTGCCATGGTTCTTTGCTTATGATCAAGTCAATGATGCCAGATATCTTTCAGCATATTGGCTTGAGATGTGCAACTTGAAGAAAATGTCCAAATATTAGTAAAGAGTTACAGGTTATTGACCAGTAACAACAAGAATATTGTTTCTCTCAGACTGTACTTGACTAGGTTACTGAACAGAAGGTTCACCGTAACTTTCTTTTATTCATTCATGGAATGTGGGCATTACTGTCTAGGCCAGCATTTATTGCCCAGAGCATAGTTAAGACTCAACCACATCACTGTGGGTCTGGAGTCATGTGTACCAGACCAAGTAAGGAGGCAGTGTCCTTCCCCAAAGGACATTAGTGAACCAGATGAGTTTTTCTGACAATTGACAATGGTTTTATGGTCATCATCATACTCTTTATCCCAGATTTTTATTGAATTCAAGTTCCAGCATCTGCCGCAGCAGGACTGCGGTCCTGACCCGAAACATCAGCTTTCCTGCTCGTCTGATGCTGCCTGGTCTGCTGTGTTCCTCCAGATCCACACTGTGTTATCTCTAACTCCAGCATTGGCGGTTCTCCCAGTGTCTAAAACTCACTTTGAATTTGACATAGTAACTAGTAACTAATTCAATGGTCCACTTCTCTCTGAAGGTCTGAAACTAGAGGCTCGAGCTGCAAGTTTATCAATGTATTTGTATAGCACCTTTGACATAGTAAAACAACCAAGGCGTTTCACAGGAGCTTTATCAAATAAATCTCATAAAATCTGACATCAAGCCCCTGGAAGAGATTCTGGGGGAATCTCTGACCAAACATTTGTTCAAAGAGTTAGGTTTTAAGTTGCACCTTAAAGGAGTCAAGAGAAACAAAGAGGTCTGAGGAGGGAACCAACAATTTGTCATGCAGTTTTTGTGGTGCTTTTTTTATTCCTATAATTTGTTGGGGGATGGGGGAATGGTAAATAAATGAAGTGTCCCAGTTGCAACATTAATCTACCTTTCAGTTTCAACATGCTGATTAAGCTGTGTTACTTCCTGAAAAATTATTAGGCAGTACAGAGGCTCAGTGGATAGCGCTGCTGCCTCACAGCGCCAGGGACCCAGGTTCAATTCCAGCTTTGGGTGACTGTCTGTGTGGAGTTTGCACATTCTCCTCGTGTTTGTGTGGGTTTCCTCCAGGTTCTCTGGTTTCCTCTCACAGTCCAAATATGTGCAGATTAGGTGGATTGGCCATGCCAAAATTGTTCATAGTGTTCAGAGATGTGTTGGGTAGGTGGATTGGCCATGGGAAATATGGGGTCATGAGGATATGGTTGGGGGCTGGGTATGGTTTGGAAGGGTCAGTACGGACTCGATAGGCTGAATGACCTACTCCCTCACTGTAAGGATTCTATGGCCGCTGTTGTTGAGTGGGAGTGCACCAGGGATCTTAATTGTGCAAACTGGAGCTGGGATGTGGAGGAGATAACAGTTGTGAAGTGGAGGACAAATAAATATGTAGGGATGGGAGAGATGACATTGCATGGAAGGGAAAGGGGTGATGGAGGTAGGGTCATTGACAGTCAGGCATACCATGGCTTTCACAGGGAGACAGTGCACTGCTATTTCTAGCATCTTGACTCAATATAGAGTTGAAGTGTTAAATTGATGTGTTCCTAGGAAACATGAGGAAATTCAAAGCTGATGGGGAGGGCTACCAAGAAAGGAATATGTACATTTGCGGGCTGAATAAAGGTAAGAGGTGTGAACTTGAGAGTCTCTGCATAAAATAGAGTTGTTATTTCCTCTCATCATGATGCAAATAACAAGTGCATAGTGGAATTGAAAATGGGTGCCACCACCCCCCCAAAAAAAAGAGACAAGTTAACTGCTTTGTTCTGTGAGGGAAGGAGCTTCATGTTTAAGCAATGTGAAGCCAATCAAAGAGCAACAGCACTACACAGATAGCCAAACAGTAGAGCTGAAAGATACCTATCAAACTACAAGCTATGTGAACCTTAGATGATAACTTCTACAAATCCTGTCCCCAAACACTCTTAACCACATTGTGCAGCATCAGGACTCAGTCCCACTAATGACCTGAATCACAGGCAATGTACTGCAGCTCAGAAAAATGCACTCTCATTGCAATCACCTTCCATGTTCCCATAGCCTGTACCTGGTACATGAGCTGCTTACTTTACACCTTGGAATATAAATCCCTCATGTAGTCCACTGATCACTAAGCTCTGTTACTTCATTCTTGTATTTGCATCAAAGCAGACATTTGCTCACACAGCTGATGATTAAAACTGAACATTGATTGATTGATTTATTGTTGTCACATGTACCAAGGTAAAGTAAAAAGTGTTGTTTTGTGTGCTATATAGGCAGAATGTATCGTACAAAGTGCATCACTGTAGCAGAACAGACTGCTGAATACAGTGTTACAGCCACAGACAACGTGCAGAGAGAGAGAGAGAGATCAGAATTAAGAAATGAGAGGTCTATTCAAAAGTCTGATAACAGCAGAGAAGAAGCTGTTCTTGAATTTCTCGATACGTGTTTTCAAACTTTTGTATCTTCTGCCTGATGGAAGAGGATGGAAGAGAGTATAACTAGGTTGGGAGCGGTCCTTGATTACGTTGGCTGCTTTCCCAAGGCAGTGGGAAATGTAAACGGAGTCAATGGAATGAAGGCTAGTTTTCATGATGGACTGGGCTGCGTTCATAATTCTTTGTAATTTCTTGCGGTCTTGGGCAGAGCAGTTGACATACCAAGCTGTGATGCATCCGGATCAAATGCTTTCTATGGTGCATCTATAAAAATTGGTAGGAGTAATTGTGTATGTGCCAAATTTCCATGGCTTTCTGAGGAAGTAGAGGCATTGGTGTGCAAGATTGTTGGTGATATTTACTTCTAGGAACTTAAAGCTCTTGATCACCTCAGCACCGTTGATACAGATGAGGATG